TGAAAGTTGGTATTAGAATAAAACCTAGGACGTCGGAATATTGCAGATCCCTGGAATATTCTGCGGTTAGCAGCGTGAATGGATAAGCTTTTGAAATGTCAAACTCTTTATCCAAGAAAACGAAAAAGTCTGACTTTAGGCTCTTATTTATTGTAAAATCATCCCGGCGATAAGTTCAGGTTCTAAGCAATGTCATAGTCACAGTAGTTGGTATTTTTGCAGGTATGAATAATTCATTTGACCCAGTAGTGAAAAACTTGGTGGCCTCGGTGGGTTTTTAACTCACGACAGCAGGCATATAACTTGACCATAGCCAACGCTACAGCCACTTGAGCTACAGGGCCCCACCTGGAGGCATGGATTCAATCACATGTTGATCGAAGTACCCACTCAACCTACTGTAGTGCATACAATTCACCAACACTGATACGGTAAACTAACTGCCCAACCAGAACTTTATAGACAATCAAAAAATCAATCCAATGACTACCATGCTCACCTCATTAATCGGTGTTATTGGCATGCATAATAAACTGTAATGCATGCTGCGAATTTATACGAAGACAAATACTTATTTAATCCTGTTCAGCAGTACTCAAGTGACATTGATATCCACTTTTGAGATCCTGAAAGACTATGACATGCAATTTAGATGACCTCCTTCTTTTTACTAGACAATTTTAAAGAAGGTTTGATCGAAGGATCGCATTCAAATAATCATTTTGAAACTCAGGAAAGGATTTATACAGTTACTTTCTGATACATTGAAGGTGACTAGAAAGAACAGATTCAAGAGGTCAAGTTTGGCGAACGCATGTTTCTGATTATCGATCAACAGGCAAATAAATTAATATAAGAGAGGATGAAGGGACAAAAGTTTAACCATCCAATCAACAGTAAGTAGGGGGAGAGGGGGCTCATGGAGTCCGAGGGAGGGGGAGGGGTCCGACAATTAGTCCAAGTCATTATATTGTTGCTGTAACGCGACGAGGTAGGGGGTGTGAAGACGCATGCTGAGTCGGCCAATATAAACGCTTTTTAAAAGCACAAAATCGGGTTAGTTAGTCGTATGTCAACGGCTCCTGCTGTTGCAAGTATCCTCTGACACAGGAACATGAAGTGTTTTGTCGGCGCTTTATAAATGACGCGAAACTGTACGTTCGCTAAATTTGACTTCATTAATACTTGCAATAAAAAGGAAAATAATATAATAAGAAGAAAGAAAGTGGCTTCTTTTTCAAGATAAACAATATAAGTCTTCATCAAGATGAAGGATGGATAGGGGGTGCCATCTGGTTGAAAGAGAACGTTTTCAAATGAAAGTGGAAGTGACGATTAATTAGGACAAATAATACCTTAGCTAATGCATAAATGAAAATGTCATAATGCGTAAATATTTGTAGATTCGGCGATTATCAACTTACCCGGTCCTCGGTTTAGAATAAAACTCATCATTCGATATGAACCACAGACTAACACATAATGAACATCTTCAAACCGGATATGTACGCTTCTACATTCGTAAAATAATGCATAAAACAGTAAGAAGCACTGGATACCAAACACCTTGTTTACCAAATCGATTTTTCTCTCGTTTTTAGATCCTAAAAACATGCGCGCCGAATTGACGGCTAGAACTCAATTTGACAAGTCGTACAAAGGGACTATTTCGATCGACGAATGCTCCCCTGATGGTCGATTCATCGTCATAACAAATAATGGAAATCACGTGAGCAACCATTCGATAATTATTTAGTAACGTTTGGGCTAGAATATACTCCGATACGTACTTCTGTTACAAAATATTCCCTCATACATATTTTGTGTTTTAAGTTTTCTATAACTCTCGTTTTCAGGTAGAAAATCTGGATGGTTGGCGAGTAGTTCGAAACGTGGAACATGGCAAGCAGATTATTCGGTACACCTTCGGTGACACACCAATGCTACCGAAAAGCAGCCGAAAGGCAAGTCTGTCCCACCCGCCATGCTCTTTAAATCTCTGGCAACAATTAAAAATTACAATTTCGGTACTCGTGCGCATGACATGAACTGGCGCCAGGGGGAGAAAAAGCCAGCCCTCCATCGACACTGCTCTTCCGTTCGTACAAACCCACTGGCGGCAAAATTTACTTTCATTTTAAATCAAAGGGGCCTTCTGCTGAGTGTTACACAGCCCGTTGGAGGGAGCCAGCCTATCTCGTCCGTTGGCCGATTGTAATTAATTTTAATTAGTTCTCAAATTTGCAGAGCTGAAATCCTGCTGTTTTACTCCAAACACTGGGAAATAAGATGTTGTGCTCTAACATTTAAATGTATAAAGAGAAGTCCAATGTGGATGTGTATTTTATGGATTAGCGTGAACTGTAATTACGGATAGCAAAATCCATGACCTCTACAGCTGAGCATTATGTTAAGCACAACTTACTAAAACAAATTAAAATACCGTCGCATACCGCAGTCAAATCCGAAGAGCATAAGCCTACAAACGCTTACTTACTTTAAACATGTTTTCAAACACATCAGGGAGCATGCATTATATTTCAATAGTGTGACCTCGAAGGTGAAATGAATGAAATTAAAGTTGATAACTCCTTCAGATGCCTTTTCCACTTGCATATACTAGCACTCAATATTCAACGGCTGTGTATAAGGGTTTGCTCGAGATTACCATGGGCAGCAAATTAGAACAAAGTTTTGGGCGACGAAGCATGCATTACATCACCTAATTTAACCAATTGCTCGTCCGTAAACTAGCGCCGAATCTGCTCTTTCAGACTGATTTGAGACCGCTAATATGACCAGCTAAGGTTAACCAAAATATGTGGGCCTCAGGAAGCTACCAGAGGTTATGCTCGTTCTGAAGGCGGATTATATTAGTTCCTAATGCTCACATGGCGGGTTTTGTCCCTTTTGGAATGTCACTAGTCATCTAAGCATGTTCCTTAAGAAAGTATGTGAGTAATAATTTATCTAACAAGTAAGCATCATGCTATCTCTAAAATGAAAATTGCCTGGCACGCAAATATGAACTTAATTTGATGTTACAAAAATATGCGCTTAATGCTCGAGCTGCAGTGGGCACCCACGTAAGTGTACATGCTTCATTAAAATTTAAAGGAGTTTTGGGCAGTCATTTTGAACCGAGATTTTTGGAAGAAGGGCCAGTGGCAAGTTTTCACAATTTTTATACATTAACTTCCTTTTGCACTCTTCATAAACAGTAATTTTCAGCGTTTCTTCAAACTTTTATAAAAGTCGAAATGACAGTATAGACTTCACCAAGTAGCACGGTTATAATTCACGACTAGGTGCAAGTACTTACGGTCAGTCGAAGACTGACACTTGCATTTCGGTGACCGCTATATGCTTATTCAAGAAATACAATATTTATGGAACGTAGCTTTTGACAGGGACATTTTTAGAACTGCTTGGGATCTGATTCAATAAAACATACAGTAACCCTCACACTGTTGACAGAAAAAGAAATGACATGGGAGTCAAGGGCACAGAGGTCTTATCTTTGTCCGGCAGATTGTAGTGAATATGGAAGACAGCTGTTGTGCATTTATTGTCGTTGATTGAAACAGACAACTTCTTAAACTACTTCGAGAAAACAAAACTTCCCTGAAAGCTCCTCGTGTTTTCGCAGCCAGGCTGCTGAGAAAAGTGTTTGAAACTCCTACTTAGCCCACAAACAACCTTAAATCTAAATAGAAAAGTTGCTTTTATGCACCTTTTCGTAAGTAAACAGCAATTTTAGCTTGTAGTGCAGTAGTCTGTCATTAACTGCTTCTTCTATTAACCAAAGTTTGTGGACTTTTGCCGATTAGGGCAATCGGTTCTTCATACTAATGAAAACGAAACAAAAAATAAAAGTTTTATGCCAGAAAGGTGTAAATACCGACGGAATAGGTGGCCTTCAAGTTCTCGCGTATGCGCGCTTCTTTCAAATATACTTCAAATAAAGGGCTAGAAGTAGCTGTGCATGCTATTTTGAAAAGAATAACACCAGAGTAAGTCCAGTTTGCGTGCGCCGACTTCCCAACTTCAAGACAGCAATGAATGAAGTCGAAAGTTTCGCCTACTGCACTCTGCAGGAATTTTTGAGAACAGCATTCGCTGAGTTTACCATTATGCCTCCTCCTTTGAGCGCACTTCCTTTTCCGGTCTTATCCTAATCAGATATGGGCTCGCGGCCAGCGCGGAGCAGATGCAAGTGCGTCGGATTTGGAATCACCCTATCCCACGTGGGGTGTTGGCAGTTACATCTACACAACCCTTTTCACCATGAATGGAGAGGTAAAAGTCTTTTTTACCTAACCCCCAGGGTTATATTTACTCAACTCGGTAGCCGTTTTCTACGTTCGTCAATAAGCAAAACGTACATATTTATTTAATACAGATTTTTGTTTATTTCGCTATCTAGTCACCTAGGTTCAGGGGGCATATGCATATTTTCCTCCCGGTCATCCAAGAATAGACACACTGCTAATTTGAAAAGTATAGTTGGCAAACATGCTTTCGGCAATTAATCAGGCCAGGGATAATGAAAATCGTACAGGTGGACAAGATTAATTATTGTCCTTTGATTGCCAATACAAGCGAACATACAAGTCCCAGAAAGTAATTGATAGGAAGATTCGATCGCTGGGACAACGCTTTTATTCGTCTGATGTTTCGACATCCACCACGGATTCTTCATCAGT